ACCAATTTTCGGAGGTCCGGGCAAGCTAGCAGAGATTCTTTACGCAAGTCTGCACAGTCTCGACGAGGGCCGGCTAGCAGAGAGAATTTGAGGAAAATTTTCTGTAGTTTGCCCGGATTTCCTGGTACAACTCTATGAATCACGAAATCGGGCGGGGTATGACGTGCTCTGGGAGCACGTTTTGCCCTTCCCCCAGCCCATTAATGTCACTTCTTGCCCTTCAACCTCTCATCCCCAAATCCCACCGTAACCCCGGGCCGCCGCGCCAAAATCATGGCTTATTGAAAATTTTGGCCGTATTCATCCGGGATGGGGGAGTGTGTGTTTCAGTTTTTCAGTGTAGCCGCGTAGGGCTACGTGAGAATACGGCCTGAAGGTTGGTAGTTAAAAATTTTTAAAGTTTCCGGATTCGAGTTTTGAAAATGTTTCAAGTTTTGGTGGATTTTGGAAGAGAAATTCGGGTCTAGTCGGCACTCGAGACAGCTTCCATTGCTTAGGCTTAGGCTTGGTTTAAGCTTAGCTTTGGGGCTTAGGCTTAGGCTTGGTTGAGGCGTAGGCTTAGGTTTAGCTTAGGCTTTGTTTAGGCTTAGGAGTTAGGCTTAGGCTTAGGCTTTGCTTAGGCTTAGGCTTGGGTTAAGCTTGAGCTTATGCTTGGTTTTTCTATTTAAAACGATTTTTGACAAATTTTTGACAATATTTTTTGGAATGTTTCAAAATTTGGTGGATTTCGGAAGGGAAAATGGGGCCTAATACGCATTCCGGATATCGTTTAATGCACTTTCTGGCTAATCGGTGAGCAAAAAAATCCTTAAGAAAAATGGTGTCATAATGGTCACATTTTCCCCATGTTTTGAGATATATTCATTTCAAAACTCTTTCAAAATAGGGCAATTTAATGAATTTTATGGTTCCAATATTTAAAAAAAAACATGTTTCCATAAAAAACCTCCCCTAGAGAGTTAAAAAGTTGCTAATTTTTTGACGCGACCAATTTTTATGGTTTTTTTTAGTTTCCCCGAAGGTAATTATTTTGCTTTAATAAACTCTTTAAATGAATAGAGTCAAGCAAGGATTTATCCCCTCGAAAAAGAAGATCCATTAGCCCTCAAAGAAATTGAGAAATTCTACGCTTTTCGGGGATAAAAGCACATTCAAAAATTGATTAGAAATGCCCAGAAACGGTCCAAATTTTCAATTCACACCACTTTTTATTTTGAAGATTTATTAGGAATCAAAAACCACGAAAGCGCTAAATAAATAAATAAATATGTATAGGCAGAAGATTATAAATAGCTTTCCTCACCCCCCCCGCTAACAGCCCAGTACCACAGATTTCGAATTTCGCTAGAAAAAGGCACTTTCGGTTTGCTTCGCTTCTCAATTGTCCTGTGAAAGAAATTAGTGACCTGTAGGAAAAGGAACATCAAAATTGAAGAGATCGTATCGTAACCCGAATCAGTTGCACTTTCAAAATGCCCCAAGCTTGACATTTTCAAAACATTTTTCTATTACAATTTTTTGTAAATTTTCCAGATCTCAAACAATGTTTCTCGCCTCGTAAATAGTTATATTTCACTGGGCTAAATGAGCCCGCTAACAATTCTAATATCCCGACAATCACTGCCGTGGAACAATGGCTAGATTTGCCCCCACGGGAGGGCAAATCTATTTTCCTCGCTATTCAATGGGATTTATCAATTATTTCCCAACCCGATAAACATCATCTCGGCACCCTGATTTTTGGTCCTCGGCTTCTTGTTTAAAGGGAGTGGAAAAGCAGAGCTTAGGCTTCGGCTTAGGGCTGGGCTTAGCTTGGCTTAGGCTTGGCTTCGGCCTAGGTCCCGGCTTATGCTTTAGGCTTGGCTTAGGCTTGGGCTTAGGCTTCGCTTCGGCTTAGACTTAGGCTTGGCTTAGGCTTAGCTTAGGCTTGGCTTAGGCTTGGGCTTAGGCTTACCTGTTGGGCTTAGAACTACTGCTGGCTACTCGCGGCTCCTAAAGATTCTCTGCTAGCTTGCCTAGCTCCCGCAAATGGTTTCTGCTAGCTTTTCAAATATCAGCTCCCTGATTAGCGGTTCAAAAGCCGAAGCCCCAATTCCCAATGGATCCCTGCTAGCCTTTCGTCGGCCTATGCAAGATTTTGTTCTTCCCTATTTACCGGCTTGGCCCCACAGATCCGCTGGAAAATCCGGGGGGCCCAGACGGTTAATTCTTTTATTGTCGTGGGGTGGACGGCAAAAAATCGGGGGGATCAGATGAGATCGGATGGGGTGTCGGTCAATGGGTATAAAAGGGCTGGGAATCCTCCCAGCCCTTCATTTATACACTTCGGCTGCGTTCGTCATTTGAAAGGGACTGTGAAGTGGGGCAGGCTAGCAGAGATTGTTGAGGAAGAGGAGAGGGCAGGCTAGCAGAGATTGTTGAGGAAGAGGAGAGGGCAGTCTAGCAGAGATTGTTGAGGAAGAGGAGAGGGCAGTCTAGCAGAGATTGTTGAGGAAGAGGAGAGGGCAGTCTAGCAGAGATTGTTGAGGAAGAGGAGAGGGCAGTCTAGCAGAGATTGTTGAGGAAGAGGAGAGGGCAGTCTAGCAGAGATTGTTGAGGAAGAGGAGAGGTCAGGCTAGCAGAGATTGTTGAGGAAGAGGAGAGGGCAGGCTAGCAGAGATTGTTGAGGAAGAGGAGAGGGCAGGCTAGCAGAGATTGTTGAGGAAGAGGAGAGGGCAGTCTAGCAGAGATTGTTGAGGAAGAGGAGAGGGCAGTCTAGCAGAGATTGTTGAGGAAGAGGAGAGGGCAGTCTAGCAGAGATTGTTGAGGAAGAGGAGAGGGCAGTCTAGCAGAGATTGTTGAGGAAGAGGAGAGGGCAGTCTAGCAGAGATTGTTGAGGAAGAGGAGAGGTCAGGCTAGTAGAGATTGTTGGAGGAAGAGGAGAGGGCAGGCTAGCAGAGATTGTTGAGGAAGAGGAGAGGGCAGGCTAGCAGAGATTGTTGGGAGGGGGGGGGTTTGAGGAAGAGGAGAGGGCAGTCTAGCGGAAGGGGGGGGAGTTGGGGGGGGGGTGGGTTAGAGATTGTTGAGGAAGAGGAGAGGGCAGTCTAGCAGAGATTGTTGAGGAAGAGGAGAGGTCAGGCTAGCAGAGATTGTTGAGGAAGAGGAGAGGGCAGGCTAGCAGAGATTGTTGAGGAAGAGGAGAGGGCAGGCTAGCAGAGATTGTTGAGGAAGAGGAGAGGGCAGGCTAGCAGAGATTGTTGAGGAAGAGGAGAGGGCAGTCTAGCAGAGATTGTGGGGGGGGGGCAGGAGGAGGGCAGGAGAGGGGGCAGAAATGAGGAAGGGAGGGAGTGAAGGAAGAGGAGAGAGTTGGGAGAGGGCAGGGTTGAGGAAGAGGAGAGGGCAGGCTAGCAGAGATTGTTGAGGAAGAGGAGAGGGCAGGCTAGCAGAGATTGTTGAGGAAGAGGAGAGGGCAGGCTAGCAGAGATTGATGAGGAATTTAGCGCAAATTTCTGTCTTTTCCGCGTTTTTCCATTTCCATCTTTTTTAAGCTCAGGCAGGCTAGCAGAGACCTTTTGCGGAACTCCCCGACAACTTCCCGGACCCTTTAAAAAGTCGCGATTCTCATTCCAATTTGTTTCACTCGTGTCTGGCGAGCTGATGCCCGCCAAACACGCAACCCGCCGCGTCAAATTTTTGCCTAGCAATGGCCGGGCCGAAGACAATGGCAGGGGTTCTCCGGGCTTGAATAGCGAACATCGGCGCATGAATCGATTTTGGCTTCACAGTTCCTTTAGAACATCGAGATTAAAATTCTGCGATTTGATTTAAGTGCTGAAAAAATGTTTTAATTTTATGGGTGCTTGACGTAGTTTCTAGCTTTTGCAATACACACTTAGCTTGGTGGTTCTCGCCAGTCTTCAGTAGCCTGTAAAAAATGCTTTCGGAGTGGTCATTTAATAATTTTCTGTAAAAAAAAGTCGCCATCTCACCTTGGAGCATGAGTCTTAGATCGAATTGAGGCCTGACGGTTCCTTTGAAGCATCAAGCTTCTGCTTCATGAAATTACTAACCAAAAAAACGCGTTTCATTTTCGAGTCCGGTTATCTGCATTTCTTGACTACATAATAAAAGGACGCCTGATCCATTCGAAAAGCCATTCGTTAAAGGAAGCCGACGGCATAGACAATCGGTTACGCGCGGAAAAGAAAATGTCTCTGCGCCTCTCCCCTGGGCGCGCTCTCTCCCCTGTTGGCTACTTGCCAATTTGTTGATGGGGGGATCGACACATGCCGTCGGCAGCCCTTTAAAAGGCTTTGTTTGGATAAAATTTTTTGACATCGATAAAAAAGTTTTGTGGCCGTCACATTCCTAATGAAGTCGCATTTTTTTCGAGCCTCCTCTTTAATAATAATCGACACTTTTCAAGGGAAGACGATAAACTTGTGATAACTCAAGTCTTATAAAACCATATGTTTCAGATTAATGGAGGTTCAAGCGGATTTCTTATTTTCTAATTGCTGACGCGTGTTTGTTGACGTCACTTTCATTCACATGTTTTGCTTCTGTTTTTTGTTTCCAATTCTTTTCCCCCTTTTTGCATTTCCCGTAGCGATAAATTTGGGCCCGGAGGGCCCAAATTGGAACTAGATTTATGGACCTCGGAGGGGGACCAGATCTGGCCAGCAGCCAATTTTGGATGCGTTTTTGAGGCGTTGCGGATTTCCTCAACAATCTCTGCTAGCCTGCCCTCTCCTCTTCCTCAACAATCTCTGCTAGCCTGCCCTCTCCTCTTCCTCAACAATCTCTGCTAGCCTGCCCTCTGCTCTTCCTCAACAATCTCTGCTAGCCTGCCCTCTCCTCTTCCTCAACAATCTCTGCTAGCCTGCCCTCCCCTCTTTCTCCATTTTTCACATATTTTTCTCATTTTTTAAATTTTTCCAATGAATCTCTGCTAGCTTCATCGTTCCGTTTCAATTCCGCAAAAATCTCTGCTAGCTTGCCGTCATTTTCAGGTATACAAAATGTGCCGTCTCCTGGTGCCCCTCTGCGCCCTCATCGTGCTCACGCTGGCCGTGCAGCCGTTCGGCGAGGATGGATATGCTGGGGGTACGGTAACTAGACGGGTTTTAAGAGCCTATCTAATTTCAGAAATGGCCAAGCGTAAATCGGCGTACATGCGCTTCGGGCGCTCCGACCCGGATATGGTGCCGGTGGAGGACGAAGCTTTGGATATGGAGAAGAGGAAGAGCGCCTATATGAGGTATTTTAGTGGCAATTTTTTGGCTTGAACGGCCCTTTAAAAGGCCGGGGAAGGCTAGCGGAGATTTTGTGGAATTCGGACCCGCAAACCTAGCAAAGATCATTTGAGAACGACTTCGTTTCCAGATTCGGTAAGCGATCGGCTGCTGCTGAGCAGGAGCTGGCGCCTGAGGACGAGATGGATGGGAGAAGCGCAAGTCCGCTTATATGCGCTTCGGCAAGAGGAAGTCTGCTTATATGCGGTACGTTGGCTGAGAGAATTTGAGGAATTCTGGCCCCACCACAGCTCCAGGGCAGGCTAGCGAAGACAATTTGAGACGTTTTTCTCTGAGCAAAGTGCCCCCTTTTAGCTTCGGAAAGCGTTCCCCGGTTGAGTCGATGATCGAGGAGGCGGAGCCGCCCGATATGGAGTAAGCGGAAAAGCGCCTACATGCGGTGGAGAGGATAGAAAGAGGGAGAGAGAGAGAAAGAGGAGAGAGAGAGATGAGGCGAGAGAGAGAGAGAGAAAGAGCGAGAGATCAGAGAGAGGAGAGTAGAGAGAGAGAGAGAGAGAGAGAGAGAGATGCGAGAGAGAGTGAGAAAGAGCGAGAGAGAGAGAGAGAGAGAGGCCAGAGAGATGAGTTTGGTGAAAATCGAGTAGGATAGGCAGGCCAGCAGGGATTCTTTGTGGAAAACCAATTTTACTCAAATTTTTCAGCTTCGGAAAATAAATGGCCCGCCTTCGACTCCGACAGCCACGAATCCGAAAAACATTCCGATTTTCCATATTCCGCCTGTTATTTTCTCTCTGATTTTAAGAGCATTCCAAGAGTCTACAGTACCCCGAATTATTCTTTTTTTGCCTCCAACTTTCCGGATCTCCCACCTCCTACAGCTTTACAGTGCGCAGCAATAAATCCCGGTTGTTTTTGTTGGATTGCCCGAATCGTTTATGCAAATTGCACGATTAAAGGGGCGGGCAATGCAGGATTATGGATTTTTGGCTGCTGGATCTTCAAAGATTTTTCCGCGCCGCGATACGCGACGCGCAGCCAGTTTGGCCAGCTTTGTCGAAAATAATTTTCTCAAAATGTCGAATTTTCTCATATTATTTTATCGAGATTCCATTTTGCCGAAATTTAATTTTCTCGAAATTCTATTTTGTCGAAATTTTATTTTCTCGAAATTTCATTTTGGCGAAATTTAATTTGTGAAGTGTTTGAGATGGATATTCGCGGCGAAAAGCGCATTAAAATTTCGACAAAACGAAACGTCGGTTTCGATTAAAATTTCGATTAAAATTTAGCTTAAATGATTTTCGACAAAATAAAAATAAGTGGTTTCTTATCGTACGAATTTCCCTGTTATCGAATTTCCCACTTCCATTTTTCACCAACTTTAAAATGACGAAATTCACATTAAAAATTCCACAAAAACGCACAAATGTCAAGCCGCTCAAAAGATTCAAACTGTCAAAATTGGGTTTCTAAAGAAACGAAATTATGGACATTCGCTTTTCTACAAGTGCGATGTTATTCAAACTTTATGCTCCGATTTCAAAATTCCAATAAAAACACGCAACGCGCACGCTTTAATTTATATTGCGTAATCGATTACGAGCTGGTTACTGGCGCCGCGAGGCGTGCGCGTTGCGTGTCGCGGGACCGAAAAAACCGAAAAACCTGATAGGAACCCATAGCCAAAAATCCATAATGATCCCTTTTCCGTCCTTTAAAAACATCGAAAATCACATGTAAACTACAAAGCACAACAGCTACCGTACCCGACAAGCCGTGACCGGTCGTCAAAATGGAATCGAAAATTGCAGCAAGAAAAAAAATCAGAAAAATGAAATCGGCTTCATTTCTTCAGCGACAGCGCACCCGACTTCAGGCCCAGATCTGAAAAAAATCGGGATAAATTTTGATTCAGTGCTAAACTATGAAAAAGCTGGATCTTCTGGAGCTACAGGCTACAAGCTACAAGCTACAAATTACAAGCTACAACATTAGCATATGGCCACTCACTTTTCTTCGCCTTGAACTCGGCCAATTTCTGGTTGATGTCGACGGTTTTGGCGCTGGATGAGGGAAGTGTCTAAAATCCGAAATTAGGATAGGGAGAGCGAGAGAGATATAGAGAGAGCGTGAGAAAGAGCGAGAGAATACCGTACCTTTTTCACTGGAGCTGCCTCGGATTTCAAGCCATCAGCGGAAAGCTTCTGAAAAATAATTAATCAAATTAATCAGTGCTTCCCTACAACTGCCCTCCCTCTTCCTCAACAATTTCCCTGCTAGCCTGCCCTCTCCTCTCCTCAACAATCTCTGCTAGCCTGCCCTCTCTCCTCTTCCTCAACAATCTCTGCTAGCCTGCTGCCCTCTCCTCTCTCCTCAACAATCTCTGCTAGCCTGCCCCCTCCTCTTCCTCACCCAACCTCTGCTAGCCTGCCCTCTCCCTTCCTCAACAATCTCTGCTAGCCTGCCCTCTCCTCTTCCTCAACAATCTCTGCTAGTCTCCCCTCTCCTCTTCCTCAACAATCTCTGCTAGCTCACCTTTTCCCGTCGATTCTGCACACATTCATAGCACACAAAGTTGAAGCGCGGGTCCTTCGCCTGCTCCTTGGTCACCTCCGGCCGGTTGCACTTCATGTGGACGTACTAGAATTGGGTTGTTTTTACAGGCGAGCAGAGACAATTTGAGGCATCCTGGACCCTTCCTAGCGGCAAGGATAGTCATTTCGAGAGACGTACCTCCTTGCAGTAGTGGCATTTGAGGAGCTGATCCATCGGCGTCGACTTGGCCTGGAACAGTGTGGACAGCGCTTATCCTTCTCTTTTTCCTTTTCTCGGTCTTCAGAATCGTTGCTGGAGCCCTCCGAGCTGTCGGCCGAGCGTGAGGAGTCGGCGACACGGCCCGGAAGAGCACTCTAAAAGGAAAATTTAAATTTTGGCAAATGGTTTCTGCTAGCCTTCCCCCTCTTCCCTAATAATCTCTGCTAGTTTTCCCCGCTCCCTACCGCTGATTTGCTGATCTTCTCCTTCTTCAACGCTGCATCGGAGAACAGATCGATCGGCTTGACACGCATCCTGAAATTTAGAATCCCTTTGACTACGCCTGGCTGGATTAAAGACTATTTTATCACTACTTACCCTCCCGAAACCGAAACATTCTTCCTCAACTTTGAGACCGGCTCCACAAGTTCATCTCCAGAATCGTGGAGATCGCAATCTGGTGAGCCTTCTTGTAGTCGGAAACCCTAAAAAGGCTTAGGCAGAGAGTTTGTTAGGAAAAAGGAGAGGCAGCGGCTGGAGATATTGTTGAGGAAGAGGAGAGGGCAGGCTAGCAGAGATTGTTGAAGAAGAGGAGAGGGCAGGCTAGCAGAGATTGTTGAGGAAGAGGAGAGGGCAGGCTAGCAGAGATTGTTTAAAAAAAAGAGGGCAGGCTAGCAGAGATTGTTGAGGAAGAGGAGAGGGCAGGCTAGCAGAGATTGTTGAGGAAGAGGAGAGGGCAGGCTAGTAGAGATTGTTGAGGAAGAGGAGAGGGCAGGCTAGCAGAGATTGTTGAGGAAGAGGAGAGGGCAGGCTAGCAGAGATTGTTGTGGAAGAGGAGAGGGCAGGCTAGCAGAGATTGTTGAGGAAGAGGAGAGGGCAGGCTAGCAGATATTGTTGAGGAAGAGGAGAGGGCAGGCCAGCAGAGATTGTTGAAGAAGAGGAGAGGGCAGGCTAGCAGAGATTGTTGAGGAAGAGGGGGACAAGATGTTCTGAATACCGTACCTCCTTACACACTTGCTGCAGCTCCTCCAGGGCCTCGGGGCGCAGATCGATCAGCAGCTTGGCGAGCCTGGAAAAATTAGAGGTCAGAAGCTAGCAGAGATTTTTGAGGAATTAAGTCTTGTTTAAGAATCTTTGCAGAGATTCTTTTCCAATTTTACACAGAGAGGGCAGGCTAGCAGTGATCATTTGCGGAATCTCAACGGTCAGGGCAAGCAGCATGGAATATTTGCGGAATCCGAGGTCACTTAGGAAAAACTACGGGGGTATTTTTAGAGTTCTTTAGGCGTTTTAGGAGGGCTAGGCAAACTAGCAGAGTTTCTTTGCAGAAATTTACCAAAAAAATTACTATATACCTTTGAAACAACTTACCGATCGTAGAACGGGTTTCCGAACGGATGGGCGGACATTTTCTGGCGTTTCGCGGCCGGTGGGTCGTTTTGTGGGGATTTGTTCATAGTGGCTTTTCAGGATCTTATCAGAATCGACCCGAATCGTCTGGCCTCTCCTTAATGCATCAATTTTCCGGCTATCCGACCACCATCTGGGTGCCAGATGCCCGGTCGGCCTGCCCTGGGTGTCTGGCCCTTTTTCGGGACACCCCTCGGAAATTGGGGGCTACGGTGGCTGGGGCGCGGTATTGGCCGCAAGCCTAGCCATGAATATCTTTTAAATTGTATTTTTATAAAAATTAAAGGTGTAGAAAAATTAGAACAAAGCAGTTTGTATGTAGTTTTTTGCGCTCTTTCCGATGATGTACGTAAAATTCGCGGATATAGATGATTTTGCGGCTAAAAGAGCTCTAAAGTCGGAACTCGAACTAAAATCCTTTAAATAATATTTTTAATAAAATTAACGTTTAGAAAGCTTGAAGCCTATAAAGTCTGGTATGTTTATTTATGTTCTTTTAGACTGAATTTTCGAAGTCGCCTACCCAAAATCTCAGCCACGGAGCTTCGCCTTATCGGGGATAAAAAGGGTAGAAACCCAAAATACCCAGTAAGAGAAATTTTTAAGCTTTCTAGAATCTAAAAAAATATTTTCAGGGGAAGCCTAAAAACACAAAAAGTTATGAGATTTTGGTTGAAAAATTGATTTCGTTCTAAGAGTTTCGAGAACATTTACGTGTATATTTTTGCGTTTATGAATCGTAAAAAAATCTTCGAAACAATTCTCTGTTGATTTTCAAGAATAGCCTCAAAAAGCCGCAACGAGATCGCGGCTTTTAAAAGGCGTCCTAGATACGAAAAAAACTTTGAGCAGCAAATTCTACTTTACCTAATCTTTCTCCTGGTTTCCACTGACTTTTCAATATTTGGAAAAATCTGGCTCCCGAGATTTCCATCTAAATCAGCCCGCCGCTGGACCTTCAGCCTGTTAAATGACGGTGGCATCGAGTTCAGCGTTCGTATGGGAGTATCGGAATGTTTCTCAATTCTTCAGGCAATATAGCTCTTGCTCAAACCTTAATTTAGCGCCTGTTTTATCGCCTGGTTCAATTTGTGTTGATTTCTAGCAGAGACACTTCGAGGAATTGCGGCCCCTCCACAACCTACGGACAGGCTAGAAGCCAAATTCAGAGAAGATCGGGCCAAAATTTCTGAATATGCCACGAACTCACACAAGCCCTAAAAAAGGTTTCAGTTATTTCAGTGCTTAAAGCAGAATAATTCAAATCAATGTGAGCTTCATTTCACCCTAAAAAGATACAGGAGTTTTTAAGCTTAGGATTTAGGCTTAGGCTTAGGCTTAGGCTACGGCTTAGACTTAGGCTTGGCCTAGGTTAGGCTTATTCTTAGGCTTACGCCCATCTTCATACCAGCGTACCACCACCGACCCCCCTCCTACCACAGGTCGCTTTTCCGGAAAGCCATCAGCAAGCAAGCAGGGGGTCGCCACGACAACACCTCACATGAAAATTAATCGGTTTCTCGCAGCCCTAGGGGCCGCTGTAGCCGCCCCAGGGGCATAAAAATACCACCAGCCTTCCCAGTATGGGAATATGCCCCCCCCCAAAAGCCGCGCCACAACGACCCCCACCCCACCACCCAAAAACAATCAGGTGGGTGGCCAGGTGGTTGGGGACCTTGACTGAAGCTTCATCGATTTCCGGTCCTGAAATTCCTCAAATTGCCTTTGCTGGCCTGCCCTTTACGGCTTTGGAGCGGGCCCACAATTCCTCAAATCATCTCTGCTAGCTCGCCCTCTCCTTGGACTACCGTAGTGCGCTGCACATCCCTGGGAATTGGGCCCTCAGCACTCGGGTCACCATAGCGACAGCGCATCTTTTAGCTGAAAGATAACTGGGATACCGTAGTCAGAAGTTCTCGGATCGGGCAGGCCAGCAGAGATTCTTTGCCATATTTCTCTGGCCTTCAGCTATTTCCTTTCAGATCGCATCCTCTAAATTTTTCAGCTAAAAAATGGGACCCACGTCGCCGCGGCCTCGATGCTAAATGGGCGGAATTTGCAGTAGTAGCACAAAGGTTGGTAATTTCCTCAAAAAAAACCCTGCTAGCCTGCCCTCTCCTCTTCCTCAACAATCTCTGCTAGCCTGCCCTCTCCTCTTCCTCAACAATCTCTGCTAGCCTGCCCTCTCCTCTTCCTCAACAATCTCTGCTAGCCTGCCCTCTCCTGTTCCTCAACAATCTCTGCTAGCCTGCCCTCTCCTCTTCCTCAACAATCTCTGCTAGCCTGCCCTCTCCTCTTCCTCAACAATCTCTGCTAGCCTGCCCTCTCCTCTTCCTCAACAACTCTGCTAGCCTGCCCTCTCCTCTTCCTCAACAATCCCTGCTAGCCTGCCCTCTCCTCTTCCTCAACAATCTCTGCTAGCCTGCCCTCTCCTCTTCCTCAACAATCTCTGCTAGCCTGCCCTCTCCTCTTCCTCAACAATCTCTATTAGGGTACTGTAGCCGGAGCGGGACCTCCGCCTCCGGGTCAACAGAAAGAATCAACAAATCCATCGCTGATCGTCCCGCCGTCTGACAATCGGCCGCCATCCCAACATGGCACCGGAGCGGTGGACGAGGGAGCGGTGCGTAATTGGGTGCATTACCTACTAGTCACCAAATCCCGGAAATGAAATGACATTTCGTTGTCTAGGTTCTGCAAGAAATCCAGCGCACAGCCACCCCGAATCCGCTGTCACTGCGCGGGGATGACGATGACAGCTATGAGATTATACGATTGTTGTTACTAGGTGAAGGAAAAGACCTCGATAAATTTCAATAAAATTTCAGGAGCAGCAGAATCAGGGAAGACGACGATTTTGGAGCAGATACGGTGGGTTTTGTTGGGTAGGAATGGGCAGGCTAGCAGAGATTGTTGAGGAAGAGGAGAGGGCAGGCTAGCAAAGACTTTTAGCACCAAAACCCGAGCTTCTAGGATCATGTTCAAGCAGCACTTCACCGAGGCCGAGCTCTTCCACCGGAAAGCCTTCATCTACAACACGATCCTTCGAAACATTCGCCATTTGGTGCAGCGTACACGGCAGATCGGGTTGCAGTACAGTAACCCGGAGAGTGAGGTAGGCTACAGGCTACAAACTACAACTTTTCAGGGCCTGGCCGACCTGATCTTGAACCAGGGTGAGACGCAGTACGGCCACTTTACCGGCGAGGTCGAGAATGCGATTTGCCGGATATGGGCGGTAGGGAATTCCGCGATAATCTCTGCTAGATTCCCTCTTCTCTTCCTCAACGATCTTTGCTAGATGGCTCCTTTCTTAAAATTCCGTCATAATCTCTGCTAGCCTACTTTTCCCTCAGAATTCCCCAAGGATCTCTGCTAATTTGCCCCTATCGACTAGGTCCGTAAGAGATTGCCGCAAGCTTGGCCTATGACTCCTTTTTTCGAAAAGAATCACTGCTAGCTTGCCCTCCTAACGCGATTTTCCGCAAGAACCATTGTTATCCTGCCCTTTCCGTCAGCTCTTCGCAAAGAATCACTGCTAGCTTGCCCCCCAGAAACCTGATTTTCTTCAAGAAACTCTGCTAGCCTGCCTTCGCTGAGTCCCTTTAATTCTGCAATTTTTTAAAGGATCCTGCCACCCAACAAGTCTACACGAAGCGAAGCGAGATCAACCTCAATGACTCGATCAAATAGTGAGTTTTTGATTCTTGACTTTGAGGTGGAAAGTCCAGCTGTAAGTGCTCACGCTCAGGCTCGCGCTCAGGCTCAGGCTCAGGCTCACGCTCAGGCTCAGGCTTTGGCTTGGGCTTGAGCTTAGGCTTATGTTAGGCTTGGAATTAGGCTTAGGCATAGGCTTCGGCTTACTTAAGATTGGGCTAGCAGGCCTATCTTTCGAACTAATTCAGCTTCCTCGACAACTTCCAAGCTATCAACAAAATGGACTTCCGGCCATCCCCAAACGACTTGATCATGTCCTATGTGCCGACGGTTGGCGTCCAGAATATCATTTTCACCACCAACAATCGAAGCTTTCAGTGGGTATATGGATAATTTACATAATTTTCATTAAATTTGAGAAAATCGATTTTTTTTAGGCTGTTCGACATGGGTGGTCAAAGGATTGATCGAAGGAAATGGGCCACGATGTGGGTTAAGATGGTTTTCGGCGAGAAAAGTCTAGAATCGCGGATTAGGAGACGGATAACATCATTGCATTAGAAAGTTCCTAACCAGATGATCGCCCAATAGCTTTGAAACATGATTTTTTCCTTACCCTAGCAGGGATTCCTTGTGAAATCAAGGTATCTGGCAGAGACTCTTTAGGAAGCTTTATGATGGGCAGCTTCTCAAATTTTTAGCAAGGCAGCGAATAGTATTTGAGCGACACGTGCCAGTGAGGCAGGCTAGCAGAGATTGTTGAGAAAGAGGAGAGGGCAGGCTAGCAGAGATTGTTGAGGAAGAGGAGAGGGCAGGCTAGCAGAGATTGTTGAGGAAGAGGAGAGGGCAGGCTAGCAGAGATTGTTGAGGAAGAGGAGAGGGCAGGCTAGCAGAGATTGTTGAGGAAGAGGAGAGGGCAGGCTAGGGCAGAGATTGTTGAGGAAGAGGAGAGGGCAGGCTAGCAGAGATTGTTGAGGAAGAGGAGAGGGCAGGCTAGCAGAGATTGTTGAGGAAGAGGAGAGGGCAGGCTAGCAGAGATTGTTGAGGAAGAGGAGAGGGCAGGCTAGCAGAGATTGTTGAGGAAGAGGAGAGGGCAGGCTAGCAGAGATTGTTGAGGAAGAGGAGAGGCAGACTAGCAGCGATTGTTGAGGAAGAGGAGAGGGCAGGCTAGCAGAGATTGTTGAGGAAGAGGAGAGGGCAGGCTAGCAGAGATTGTTGAGGAAGAGGAGAGGCAGACTAGCAGCGATTGTTGGGAGAAAATAACCTCATTTCTCTAGGTACGACGGCATCGACACGATCTTCTTCTGCCTGGCCATCTCCGAGTATGACCAAGTCATGGACGAGGATGGGGTTACGGTAGGTGTTTTAGGGAATCTCTGCTAGCCCGCCC